CCGAGTTGCCTCTGGGCACTAGTTTGAGATCAGAAATACTTAAATTTGTCTAAACATTCTCTAGACGATTGTAATAATGACTTAAGGAACTAGGTTGGTGGGTAATTTCCGTTACACATTGAAATTTCGATCTCCATAATATTTAATGCTTCCAAAACTCTCATATATGAGGCAGATTGACGAAGTGCAAGCAGCTTCTATATTTTTCAGAGCTATGAGGAAAATTATGATTGATTTATGTCAAATTTCCTGCCAACAAAAAGTTGATGATTTGGCACATTTTGCACCACCTGGCCGTTCTCTCAACTGTGTATCACACATGACTCATTGCTTAGACAAACACATTCTTTGAACTAGCAAAAATCTTCAGTGATTTGGCGCAGTCACAAATAATAATTTCTGGAAGAACTATAGCGGTTGCCTGATTTAGCAATTGTTTAGGTATGAAAAATGTTTCATGGAAACCAAAAAAATTTAGGTCGCCATTCTTCAACGTGTTTGCCACAGCGGAATCGTTCGTCTGGAGTTTATGTGTGAAACAAAGGATAAAATTTTTGTGGTGATGGAAAAGCTGAATGGAGATATGCTAGAGATGATTCTTAGCCAGGTCGGAAATTTCTTGTTAGAAAAAAATTGAACCATAGACAACATAGAATTTTCCAGGCTGCTGGACGTCTTGACGAACGTGCCACACGATTTCTTCTCGTACAAATATTATCTGCATTACAATATCTTCATAAACAAGGCATCGCTCATTGCGATCTAAAACCAGAAAATGTCCTGCTTTCCGAGATGAATACGAATTTTCCACAGACGAAAATATGCGATTTTGGATATGCCAGGTGCTGTGATTTCTTATCAAATATATCTCAAGATCATGCCTTGTCCTTTGAAGGTTTATCCCGGAATCCCAATTCCGAAAGACAATCGTTGGCACACCTGCTTATCTGCCACCGGAAGTACTGCTCAGGCAGGGTAAGCAGCTCAAAAGATCTCTGTCGAAATTTGTAAGTAGCAAAAAAAATTGCAGGGTATAACAAATCGCTAGACATGTGGTCCGTCGGCGTGATCATCTATGTAACCCTTTCCGGGACATTTCCTTTCAACGAAGGAGATGAGGTAAGAGCTTCACTACAATGACAAAAAGTAAAAATTGCAATTGCTTTGCGGAAAAGCACTTCAACGATTTCATTTCGCACGTAAGCAAAATTTTGAGCAATCATATCTGAAGATTCGATTGCGAATGAAATAACAACATGTTGAAAAACCATCAGTAATCTCGTTTCAATATGTTTTCGAGGGTAAAATATCCTAGGTTATTGCGGAAATTCTTACTGCGTGCAGCTCAAGCAATCTGTAGAATTCTCTTTCTATGGCGCTTGTAACAGCCCTCCTTCATTGATCCTAAAGTTCCAAGAAGATTTTGGTCACATTTTTTGCTAATTTCGTTTCTACGTTGATACGAAACGATACACAAACTTTGCGGATGATCTGAAATGCCAAAATGAATTCATTTAGAGGCAGTGGCTCGGAAAAAATGCGACTGCGGGCTTTCCACGATTACATGGCCTTC